AATGTTTTCCCTCCACATTCCCAATTATATATATATATAAAAAAGAATAAAAGTTTGCAGTGCCATTCAACTTTAATTTTTGACTTATTTAAATACTTCAACTTTAGTATATGATATTGTTGTGTAATCTATTAATATACTTCAAGGTAGTAAGAAATTATGTCTAATGAAGTACCCAAACAATTAATAAAAATTAGATCAAGTTAAAGCACTTTATCAATTAGTTAGAAAGAATTGCTAAAAAATTAAATGTCGGTGTCAATGTATTGTGAATTAACCAACGTATGCAAATGAATATTTTTACATATAAATATTAAAAAATACCTAAAAAAAATTGTTTATTGGCTTGTACAGAGAAATAGTAACAGGTTACCAAAATTTGTAATTTCAGAGGCATAAATTTAAGAATGCCACAGCAGAATTTTTTGGTAAAGTAAACAACACTATAATTTATGCATTTCAGGCTCAATTAAATTAAGATTGGTAGTCTTTGAAACCAAAATAAAATAAAATCCTACATTCCTCAGATTAACAAAAGGCCAATTTTGGTAGAACTAAATTTTCCCCCTCCCACATTCCCTAATATATATATATATATAGTATATAGTATATTAAATAGTAAAGTATAGTAGTTAGTAGTATAAGTAGGTAAGATATGAGAAGTATAGTATTATAATTTCTAATATTGTTTTAAGATCTTTTTTGTCATAGGTGAGTGTCCAAACAGGCGGTGACATAGGGATATGTCCTTAAGTGAATAATGGTCCCTAGCACAAATTACTATTTGATCTTAGTAATTAGCTATATATTATAATTTAAATTGTTTAGCTTTTTCTAGGTGGTGTCCAAACAGGTTGGCATGTGATATCCTTAATTTGATAATTCTAAAAATTCTAGTTATCTTATTAATTAGCATTATCCAGATAGTATAATTGAGATTATTTTAATTTTAATATATAGAACTATTAATTGGAAGTTATAATGCAAATTAAAGATAAATTATGTCATGAGAATTTCTCTGTGTTGGTATCACAAGCCCTGAATCAAGAGAAGGTTGATTAGGAAGAGGCTGTAGAGAGAGAGGCTTTTTGAGCTATTGAGTTGGCTCTAGTAGAGAATAAAACTATGCGAGCCTGAGTTGGTTTGGCCCAAAGCGGACAGTATTTTGCTAGGCATGGGATGCGACATGGCGTGTGGGATTCGACATGAATTCATCTAACACTTGACACGATAGGGTCAACATGAACACGAGCCATTTAATAATCGTGTTAAATTTTTCAACATGAACACAAACACGAAAATTAGGCAGGTGACACGAACATGACACGTGTAACCTGCCTAACATCATAAACAAGTTAAGTGGATCGTGTTGACTCGTATACCAGTTATGTAACCCGCCTAATATCATAAAAATGTTAAGTGGGTCGTGTTGACCTGTACACTGACCCACTTAGCCTACTTATGATATTTTTAATTTTTAACCTATTTAACTCCAAATCATATTTAAAAATAAATTTTTATACATAAAATATATAGATTCTCCAAGATTCATGACTAAAATAAAAAAAATTTAATACAAAAATAAATTTTAAATAGAGTTTTAATTGCGTATTTATATTTGACACTAAAATTATTTCTTCACCCTAAAATAAACAGGTCACTGGTCTAACCCTCGTATCAATCCGTGAGACGACATGTTTATATTCGTGTATAAATGGATGACCCATTTATGACATGAACCCGTTTAACCTCAACCCTAACTCATTTATTTCACGTGTTAGATGAATCGTGTTCGCGTGTCATGATCCATTTTGACGCTCCTAGCTTTTTCGTTATTTTTATGGTTATTTTTATTAAGTTTTCTCTAGGAGTTCTTTTAAATTTTATTTTATTTTGTTTTATTTTAGTTAGACTTATTTATATTTTTCAATAAAACTTCCTTGCATCATATTTAATATGAGGAATTTTTTAGGATTTTAATGGGAAAGCAGCCAAAAGTGCAAAAGAAGATTAAAAGTAGAAATTTGGCCATGACAGTCCGCAAGAAGCACGAGCAGGGCGTGCTATCCAGCATCCCTATGCTACTCTGTAGGATTTAACTTGGACGGAGATTCAATATTAAGCCTGTGCTGCCTGCATAAATCTGCATGAAAATATTTTAAGATGTGCCTTATTAAAGCTGGAGTCCTATTTAGATGCTGAGAGAGTCCTAATTGGGAAGGAATACAAAGTCTAATTAGTTTCCTATCTCCAAAAGATTTCTTCCTCAATAGAGATTCACTTTTCTAAACAATTCGAAGATTTTCTAGATAATCTATATAAAGAGAGACTCTAGCTATTTTGATTTTTATCTTTTGTTCTATTATTCTTAACTCTACATAGTTTCTCTCTTTAAGACTTTAAGTATTTAAGTTGGTGTCAATATTTAAGTAAGTCGGCTAAGCTAATTGTTGACTAGTTTTTATTTCTGAACTCTTTTCTTGTTTATTTTTATTATGAGATCATTTATAAGTTTAATTGAGTTTAATTTATTTACTATATCGAACTAAATCTTTTTACTAGGGATATGATGTAGCTTAAATTCAACTCCAATTTATCAGGTTGTTTCCCAATATTTAAGTTCTGTCGGCTAAAGCTAATGCGGTTGACTAGTTTCATTTCTGAACCCTCTTTTTCTTGGGTTGTATTTTGTATTTTGAGTGATTCATTTATAAGGTTTTAATTGGTTTTTAAATTATTTTTACCTATTATCGAACTTAAATCTGTTTTACTAGGATAAATTGATTGTTAGCCTTAATATTTCAACTTCCAATTAATTTTCCGCCTCGTATAATCACTTAGATTCTTCGATTTTATTTTTTTTTCTTCCAAGTAAAAATTTTAAAATATTGATCTTTATAATGATTCAGGCAGTAGTTAGTTCTCTATTCTGCATTTGATTTTTTATCTTCATTATATCTACTATCGGAATGAATGGTTTTGCTATGAATTGGTTAGTAAATTCCTATGGAAATACCAACTGATGTGCATAGAACCCATGCAACTTCGAGTTATAAGTTTAATTGAGTTTAATTTATTTACTATATCGAACTAAATCTTTTTACTAGGGATATGATGTAGCTTAAATTCAACTCCAATTTATAATCTTAGATTTTATTTTATTTTTTCAAGTAAAATTTATTATTGATTTTAATGATTCTAGGCAGTAGTTTCTCTTCTGCATTGATTTATTTCATTAATCACTATCGGAAGAATGGTTTTTGCTATGAATAGGTTAGTAAATTTTATGGGAATACCAACTTGATGCGAGAGCTAGTTGATTTGCCTCGTGTGAGATTTTCATAAAATTAAAGCCTTTAATTTGTGAATCCTGAATAATCATATAACTTAATGATTTAATCTATGATTGGTTGCGTCGTTGAGAGATGGGTAATTGAATTGGGTTAAAATAGTTAACAAAACATCGAGAGAACTTATTAGCAATTTTAGGGTTATTTCTCATTATTGAATAATTAAAAATTGATTATCAAACTAATATGATAAATTAGATAGAATTAGGTGAAGTCAAATTTCCCAGTGACCTTTAAACCTTGATTTCTTTTCAACAATCACTTGTTTGATTTCTTACTATTTTATTTCTTTTATTTTTAAATTTATTCTCCTTATTATCATTTAAATAATATAGGTTGAAACGATATTGGTACTTGGTATGCAATTTTCGTAAGACCATACTCTACTCACTCTTTATTATTTGTTGCAATTTTGTACACTTGCGAATTTGCCCTCTGACTTTTCCAAACCAAAAATATCATTTTAAGGTTTAAAGATCTAAATCAATCAAAATGTATAAATATGCTTATTCACTTAACAATTTTAGTTTAGTTACGCTTAAACTTTGATGGAAATTAATTGTGCTTTCATTTTGATAATTACATATACTGCACATAATGATTATTTGATCATTTTCATTAGGATCCGTTTGGTTCAACAATTCATATCAACTGATAGTTGATAACAGTTAGTTGATTAATATTGACGTTTGATAAAATTTTAGCATCAATTATTATTAAAATATAAAATGGCCATTAAAAATTTAATTGCCTTTTATTTTATTTTATTTTTGGTATAAACCACTGGTATTCGATTAATCACCAGGAACCGCTTAATTCGGCTCAGGGCTTACTTACAGTTAAGGGTCCTCACCATTCCTTGCAGGTGCGTTTAGTGGGAATCAAACTCAAGAGCTCTTTTACATGTTCAGCTTGCGTTGCCAATTGAGCCACAATCCGTAAGTAATTTGTCTTTTATTTTAATTCATAAAGCGTTATTGTTTTTATATATCATAGTATACAATGCATATGTATGAGGAGAATATGTAATTTTTTTAGTTTAATATACTATGTAATAAAAATGTTAATTAACTTTTTTTAAAAAATAATATTTAATAAAAACTTATTATGATCATAATATGTTAATTTGAATAAAATTATTTTTTTAATTTTAATAAAATCATATTTAAATCAGCTAGTAACTAATATGAAAATTTTCAAAATTTTCTATCCGCTGCCAAGCTTGCTGATTAGGAAGCTTATCAAACAAAAACTAGATTGTTAACTCCAATAACCTAATTGTTTAGTGCGAATCAACATATCCATACAACTAAATCATGTATGTTATCGATTTAATCCTTTATTTAACGGTAAATGTAGTATCTTTTGGATGAGAACTAAATAATTTAACGATTTAAATTTTAATGATTAATCATAATATTTATGAAATAAGAAGGATGAAATTATAATTAGAATCAAACATGAGGGACTACAAAGTTATAAAAAGAAAAAGAAAGAGATAAAAAACCACCTGAACAAAATTGAGGGCCGCTGGCTTCCAGCCTGTCTTCAGATATTATTTTCCCCTTATTTTCAACTAATAAAAAAATGAAAAAAAAACAATTTATAATAAAATAACTAAAACCAATAATTAAGTTTGATTATCCTCCTTTGTCCCTTTTCGCCGCTGCTTCCTCTTTCTGTTTCTGTTTGTTTCTTCAAATTTCCTTTTTTATTTTTTATTTTTTCAATTTTAATCTCTCCCTTTCTCATTTAATATTCCTTTTCTGACTCTTTCCTCTCTGATAATTCTTCCATGTTAAGATTCTCGTCTCTGCTTATCCTTTTCCATTTCCATTTCCACTCCTAATTCTCTTTTTAAACGAATACCTCAGGTACGTCTCTCTCTCTCTCTCTCTCTCTCTCTCTCTCTCTCTCTAATTCAAAGTTCTTTTCGATTTCTGGTGTTTAGTTCCCGAGAAAGTAAACGAGGTTGATGTTCTTATTAAATCTTCGTTATTTTTGAATAATCTTTCAGGTTTCACAGATAAAAAAAAGAATCGAAATTGAGATCTACGAGTCAATCATGGCGGAGGAGCACAGATGCCAAGCGCCGGAAGGTCACCGCCTTTGCGCTAACAACTGTGGGTTTTTCGGGAGTCCGGCGACGATGAACCTCTGTTCTAAATGTTATGGAGATTATTGTCTCAAAGAACGACAGCAACAGCAACAAGAAGCATCTATTAAAGCCTCTCTTTCCATTGCATCTTCGCCATCTCCTTCTCCACTCGTTGATTCTCAGCCTCCCACTCCGTCGATTGCTCTGCCTGATGTACGAAGTCCGTCGACGGAGGTTTCAGCCGCGTTTGAGCAGCCGAATCGGTGCTTTGTTTGCAGGAAGCGGGTCGGGTTGACCGGTTTTAGATGTCGGTGCGGGACCACGTACTGTGGTACTCATAGGTACCCGGAGAAACATGGCTGCACCTTTGATTTCAAGAAGGTCGGAAGAGAGGAGATCGCGAGGGCAAATCCTCTCATCGTGGCTGAGAAGCTGGAGAAGATTTAATCTGAACCGTCAGATCGTATGACTTTGAAAAACATTAGAATGATCGGGGTTGCATCAGATGAACAATTACCACAGTCGATCTCAGCCGTAAATCATGGACTCGATCTGGCAAAGAACTATGGCTTTCCATAATTTATTTTCTCTCTTCCTTTTAAATAATAATAATATTATTATTAAGTTAAAATATATTATTATTATCAAATAATCCGTATGTGTGCCTTTGATTGTGTAAAAAGAAAAAGAATTGGGGTCAGTTTGCAAATTTTTTAAATGCCGTGTAGATTCCTCTTGTTAGGCAACTCGTGATTTTGGGTTTTGAATTATTGGTGTGTATTGAAAGCAATGGTAGAAGGCAGCCCATCTTTTTTATTTGATGGAGAGCTTTTCAAGTTGAGTTGAGTTGATACAGGTGGAATTGTTAGGTTGGTTAGTATAATTTTGTTTGTTTGGCAGCTTGACTTTAGTTGTAACTTTTGGGTAATTTCATACTTTCAACCAAAAATGGGAATCCCTTTTTTAAGGCAAGCACAAAGTTACATAAAAAAAAAAAAGAAAAAAAAAAAAAAAAATTATTGGTTTGTTTTGGCCAGCTTGACTTTTAGTTGTCAACTTTTGGGTAATTGTCTCATTTACCTTTCAACCAAAATGGGATATCCCTTTTTTAGGCAAGCACAAAAGTCTACATAAAAAAAAAAAAGAAAAATAAAAAATAATAAAAAAAGAAGAGGAAGAAAGATACAGGCGACGATCAGGATAATTAAATTTGTATCTTTTTTCTTTTTTTTTATTCGGATTGGGAAATTCGGTCGAACGATTCGAAGTTCCTGTAAAATCCTGGTGTACACCTTGTTTTTTTTTTTTTTTTTATTCGGATGGAAAATTCGGAACGATTTCGAAGTTCCTGTAATCCTGGGTACACCTTTGTTACCAATCACCAAAAAACCAACATGCAGTCAATGTAAAACGCACGAGAGATCTATCAAAGTGGTGCCTACCTTTCCTCGACTCTGTAGCTCAAGATCTTGCAACAGAGTCCACACACAAAAATGCACAAAACATATCCCAACCTCTGTGAAACAGAATAAAAAACTTGACGATTCCCTCTCTCTCGCACCAAATTTTTATTTCCATCGCTTTCTCACTGTGCATTTATGATAGGAATGTTAAAATGAGTTGATAAAATTAAGCGGGTTAGGCTTCTGATTTTAGTGAAATATGTATTTTGACACTCCTATTTAGAGCATTTGGTTTTTTTGTTTGATTGACATTAATAAGAGTAGATAGCTTATATTAATGACTAACATGGCAGAGCCTCTCTCCAAATGATAATACCAACTTGGTTAAAAGCAATTTGCCAAAGCATGAGCTAACATATTAGCCTGACGTAGCCCAAGAGACTGAAATATCATTAATATCATCGATTAAATGCTTTCACAATCAAAACAACTCAAAGGGATAATAAGAATAGCATGAACATTAGAAGCAAGAAACAACTGATATAATCTTGAAACATTCCATAATCAACCTGTCACTTGGAAAAACATTAACCTCTTGCAAACCTGTCGGTCTAGGTGTTTCCACAAAAAAATTGGACTCTCGATTAAGCCAAGCATCCTCCCATCTATTAATTCTCTTACTGTTCCCAACTCGCCAATGTAAACTAGCATTTAGAATAATTTTGGTTCGCAACAAACTCTTCCAAGTAAAGCTTACGTTAGAAATATCCTGAGCTTCTAAACAAAGTTCCCTTAGGAAAATATTTAGCTTTGTAAAGTCTTTCTACAAAGAGTATTGGGGTTAGAGGTTAATCTTCCACTTGGCTTACCCAACATAACTAAATTAAAATGCTATTGAAAAGGAAGTGATGGGAGCAATTAATATGGACCGAGTGTTACTCAAACCAGTTCAAATAGAGGTAACGCTCGGTCAAATATTCATTAAGAGTTGTTTAACCATGTAATTAATGCCCAAGATTCTCGCTCGACATTTATTCTCTCAGTTAGAATATGAAAGATACTATAAATATTTGTATCTCATCCCATTAGAGGACATGACACCTAATAGCAATTTCTAAATATTTCTCTATTTTACTTCTATCAAATTGGTGCGGTGAGTGTGGGACATACCTAATTCTCACTCGACATTTATTCTCTCAGTTAGAATATGAATATAAATATTTGTATCTCATCCCATTAGAGGACGTGACACCTAATAGCAATTTCTAAATATTTCTCTATTTTACTTCTATCAAATTGGTGTGGTGAGTGTGGAACAGACCTCAGTTATTTAATCTCTTTCTCTTAAAATCACCTCAAAAATGACATCCAATGAGTCTCAGAATATGCTTAATGGTGCTCAAGATACAAGTATGAAGTCTATTCCACACCTGACTTTGAACATAGTGTGAATACTCAAATTTTGAGGCTTCTCATGTTGTTGGTGGCATGTGAAACTCTTTAAATGGAGGAAAACACGCTGCTACAGTGACATGCCAATTAGTTTGACTTTGCTACAGTAAATTTGACTTTGCTACAGTAACTTTGACTTTGCTGCAGCAACTGTGCAAACAGTCCGGCCGGACCGGAACACGCTGCTACATGACATGCCAATTAGTTTGATTCTTTGCCTACTATTTGTAAAATTTGACTTGCTAATCCAGGGTAACTTTTGACTTTGCTGCAGCAACGTGTGCAAACAGTTCCGTCCGGATCCGGAGGCTATTTTTGGACATTTATTGGAAATATGTCAATATGTACTTGAACACGTCCGGCGGAAATTTCACGTAGGATCGCTAGAAAACCAGGTCCGCAATGTATTTTGGCAGGTCGGGAATACTCCCAAAAAATGCTCCCGGAGCGAGAAACAATGCGGGCCACCATCCAGTACTGGCGGCGCCTGGCCGCCGGACACGGCGGCTTCCTTGCCGGCCCAGCATGGGTTGGCACCCGTGCCGCCTCCCACCGCCTGGGCTGCAGCAAGCCCGCCCCAGCAAAGTGGCGGCACCTGCCGCGAATTACCCACCGACTGCGGCGGACACCTACCGCTTCCTCTCCCAGGCCCGGCACCTGCTTGGGCGGCAGCTGCCGCCGAGCCAGGCGGCACCTGCCGCCCTGGACCCGAAAATGGCCTATAAATAGACCATTTTCAGCCTATTTTGACACCCCTGTCTGTGTTGACGGACGATCTTTCTCCCTCCCACGCTCCTTGCGTTTTTCTTTACCGCTTTTTGCATTTTAATTTTTATTACATTATTGTTGTGATATTTGGCCACTAAAATTAAATAAATTAAAATTGATTAATATTTCCCAAGCGAGGAGCTTAATCTGGAATTAAGAAGCGGTCGCCGATTAAATCAGGTATGTAAACGAAACTCTGCCTATTTAATTTCAGCACTACACCTTCAATGCGGAATTTCCTCTTCTACTTCTTTTAATAATTTCTACAATGCATAAAAATGCATCCACGTCATTATTTTTTTGGTAAATAAAACTGCGGTTAAATTAATTTGATATTAGCTTTAAAAATGCCCGGCTCCTCAAATAATAGATCGTGGTATTAAAAGTCTTAAACTCCGACAATTATTGGCTAAAAGAAGCCTAGTTAATCAATAACTACGGGGTTCAATTGTGCCTTATTTACGAAACAAAATCCTTGCTTCAAGTCCAAATTAATCAATAATTGTGTGCTAACAGCCTTTATCATATCCACGTCTCGACAATAAAATTGTGTGATAAGCCATTTATCGACCAATCGCTCCGAAGTTAATCGATTTTTCCTGGCATTAAAGCCCAAATCGCACATTTTGCCCAAACTTATTGCCTTAAACAACACATTTTGGTCCAAAGGCCTCTAAAAACCCAACCATTTGGCGACAATCGCCTAAATGCACTCATTTTTTGCCGCAAATAAAATTGTGGCCTAAAAACAAACATCCTTTTCGGCTAAAAAGCGCCTAAAATCAACCATTTTCTGGCAACAAATCGCTTAAAAATTCCAATCTTTTGGCAAATGCCTTAAAATCAACATTTTTCGCTCTAAAAACCGTAAACAATCAACCATTTTGGCGACAATCGGCCTAATTCGCACATTTTGCAAACAATTGCCTAAATCAAATATCATTTTTGGCTAAAAGCCATTAAAACTCAACATTTTGCGAACAATGCTAAAGAATATCAATCAATCTTTGGTGAAAATGCCACTAAAACAAATAATGCACAAAGCATTACAACACTACTCCTTCATGCAACTGACGCCCATACACACAAATAATGGCACAAAGCCAATACACTTCCGAAATAGCACAAAGCAATAGGCATACACTCATGCAACCAAAGCATCACACCACTCATGCACAAAGCATTTTACACACTCATGCACAAAGCAATACACACTTCATGTGCATTAAGCATTTATTTTACCCCCTTCAAAGCCCTTCAAAAGAAGGCCTACTTTCGAACTACGTTGACTTTGATCTTCCATATCAAAACGGAAGTACGTTTAGGCACCGGTTGACTTTGATCTTCCATTCAAATGGAAGTACGTAGGCACGTTCGGGATTTCACCCCGGGTGGCAAGTCGAAATCACTTAAACATTTCATTGATCCATCATTCACCCTTGCAAAACACTCATTCATCGGTTAGTTTATCAGCATGACATAGTCTCGGGATCCACCTCGATTTCGTAGATTGTGCCTTAATCATTGGGATAATTAATCTAGTAACTAGGTTAATTAAAAATGGAGTCATTCAGGTTTTTTTCCTAGTTTACCCTAAAATAATTAAACAAGGTGGCGACTCACACACTCACTCACACACATCACGTGCTATTTCTTCTTCATTCATACATCATGCATTCCATCATTTGCTGTATGACATTTGGGGAAGGGGTTTCACAGTTTGGCGGACTCTGCTGTGGAACTATGTAATTTTTAGTTCGTGCATTAAAGTGACTACAATTGTTGCTGAAACTAAAACCGTGCCTTTTCGTTAAGGACATCATTTATTATGCTGTCTCTGCAGGGTAACCCTAATACGAATTCAAGTGTTTCTTTCCGTTAAGAATATTGATAAATCCGGACTTAATTTAAAGATGTTTGATTAAGACATTAAAAAACTTGTTGATTTTATTTCGCGGCACGATTTGGGATCCTTTTTCTCCATTGCATAAAAAAATGGAATTTTCAAATGAATTTCTTCTCCTTCTGTTCAACTTTCTGAGTCTGGCATATGCAAGTAGCGCTGCATCGGCAGGTCTTCTTTGATGCTTATGTCGACGGACAGCCAAAAAAGCGTCTCCTGTTTTTGCGCAAAACCATCCCTAATCCTTTCTCTCGGGGAATTGGCCAATGGGCATCGCGTACGTTGGACCAACGAGCGGAAAACTCTTTGTTTCAACATGTTGGTTTAGGTTATATCCTATGCTCAAGGGCTCAAGCGTCCCTTTTAATTAAAC